GTTTTCCATAACACTACATAATATTTTTTTAATTTTTTCTTCTTTTCTTATATAACATTTCATATGATCATAGAGGTATGTTAAATATTTTTTATTACGTGTCTATATATAACGGTCAATTATTATCACATGACTTTAAAAGCTTATAACTCCTTATTAAAAAAGAAAAAGTAAAAAGCAAACTATAGAATTAAAGCTAAAGACCTAAGCTTCATTTCCGTCGGTTTACCTTTTCATCTTATTGGAAAAAGTTTTGAGTTATAAGGTTTCAAAGTTATGCCATTTTATATGTCTATAAATATAAGTTGTAAAATTTCGGAATGATCTTCCCTTGTGATTTCCTAAAAAGCCTATGATCGGCTTAAATTTTTTAAATAAAAGATCTTCTAAATTTTAATTTCAGTCTGACATTTGAACCATACTATATAAATATTATTAATATAATAATTCCACCTATAAAAGATCCACCATCTATGTGTGTTATTTTCTAATAACTCTTTTTTTCATCAATTAAAAAGAAAGAATACTTAATCTTTTTCTAAAGAACAAATAATTAAATTAATTCTTTATTTTATTTCCCATTACTGTTACTACACATCAATATTTAAAAAAATTTCTTGATCTTTATCCTTTGTTTAATCTTTATTTTTTTTTGATTTCACCTATAAATTTCTCCATTTGCATTTTGTCATTAGCATATAACTCTTTGTTAAGAAAGAATTAGCAACCATTTATTTTAATTCTTTATAAGTAAAAATAGCTTATTTAATCCTTTATTCTCCATTATTAATATTATGTGCATTTGTAAAAAAGATGATAAATAGATATATGTTTGAACGTAACACAAATTTATTTTAGCAAATCAGTCACGTGAAAGTCACAGACGTGCATTTAGAGAGGTTGGTTTTATATAAATGGGGATGGAGGAAGACCGTGCAGTGTATTTATGGAGGGATGCATTTATCTCTTAAGTCCCAAGGTTGGAAATGAGACATAGCATGCATTTATAGAGGGAAAGTTCACTGTAATAATAATAATGGTACATGAGAAATTTTTAACTTTAAACCTTCACAAAACACACATTAATCTTACAACAACTAAACTAGTAAATAATAATAACAATGTCACAAAAAAGAGCTTACTATTGCTACTTTATATTCTTCTTTGTCTCAACTTTCACTTATTAAGGGTAGAGTTCGGTTACACAATATATCATATGGCAAAAAAATCACACGACCACAATTTTTAAGGTTTGAACAAATAAAACTTTTTTGTAAAATTGCGAAACTTAAATGAAACTTTGTATATATACTCTCTGGGATTAAAACTATTGAACAATGTGCTTTTAATAACATTTGTTAATAAAGCTTTACTAAAAAGGTAATGTGAAGTTCAACATATGTTACGAATTCTTGTCCTCTACTATATGTTTTTGTTAAAGTAAGGTTGCCTGTCAAAATCTGTTTAGCCTGATGCTGAAAGGTAAAACCTCCTACATAGTGCCGAAATGACAAATTGGCAAAAGTGCCAAAAATGCCAAAAGTGCCAAAACTGATCAAAAATGCCAAAAGTGCCGAAACTGACAAAAAAATGCCAAAACTGATCGAAAATGCCAAAAATGTTGAAAATGCCAAAAGTGCCAAAAGTGCCAAAATGCCAAAAGTGCCAAAACTGACAAAAAATGCCAAAACTGATCAAAAATGCCAAAAATGTTGAAAATGCCAAAAATGTCAAAAATGCTAAAAATGTCAAAAATGTCAAAAATTCAAAACTGCTGAAATATCAAAACTGCTGAAATACCAAAACAAACTGTCATCTACCAGATTCAATTATATAATATGTAAAAATTGTACTGCACAATTGTAAATTAATTAGATTATTAAATAATCCAAAAAAACCCAAATATATATGAAATCAATAATATTTTATTTTTTATTCAAATACATTGATAAATTAAACAATGCAAAAAAATAAAAATATTTACACAACAAAAAAACAAATTAAATTTATCCCAAAAATTTATAGTCATATTGTTTTCTATTAAAATGCTTTATATATGTATAATGAACGTGAATTTTGAAAAAAAAAAAATTATATTTACACCTCTTCATTAAGAAATTCACCTAATAAGTCATCTATATTGTAATCTAAAATCCCTTTTTCACCCTCATTGGTCATATTGACATTTTCATATTCATCAATATCACTATTGTCATAATCATCTAATACATCTTCTGGGATATTGCCAATTTCCTTGATTATTAAATCATGCAACAGATCCACAAATTTTTCAATCCATACATTTTCAATCAAAACAATACAATTATATTCAGGTATTGTTTCATTATTTATGAAAAAGGAAGTCTCGTCTTCACCTTTACTTTCATTGTCATTATCATCTGTCTCAGCAAATGCTTCTGAAATAGATATATTTATTTCAGTGTCACTTAGATGAGTTTTCTTCTTATTATTTAATCCATAAAATCCAAGTTCCGTCTTTGCATTTGATTTCCAGTACATGATCATTTTAGACATGGATTCTAGTCATTGCAAATTGAGATTCAAACATCGTTTATGAAACAGCCATCCAAGCATAGAAAATCCACATTCACAACTTGCAGAATTTGGACATATTGAAAACAGATGACGTGCTAGTGTTGGAAGAGTATCTGGTTGTGAATCTGTGTCAATAAGATTCCACCAGCTTCTAGGGTCTTCTGAACAGCAGACAATATCAAGGTCAAATGGCTCTTCATGATCCTTATATCTTTGTAACTGCTCACATAAGATTTTTGACTCATGGAGGTCAAATCCTAACCTTTTCCCAATTGTCATTGCACATTTGACAACCTTTGCATATGCTCCTTTTTTGAGAGGTGTATTCCTAAAATGGGG